CCTACTTTCAGGATTAGGCTTAAAAATGTCATTTTTGCTGTTATAGGCTTACACTGCTGGAGGACATAGGGACAACTTTTCATCATTCTATCTCTATCATCCAATTCTTTTATTTGTTAGTTCAACTCCTAATTTTTGGTTTCTCTCTGCTCTTTCTAATCATTATGGCTTCATCTTTGTTTGTGACACCATCCGGGATAGCGTTAGACGGATTTTTCATAGGGTATGTACAGGATTGTAAAAGGTAGTAAACTGAATGAACTTAAATCAAGCCTACTGAAAGGTTGTAATATGTAACAAACATAATTCTACTTGGTAGTACATTTTTCATCACCCCTTCAATATATTCTGACTTGTCTTTGATGGTCTTAGGTTTCCAGTCAATTTAACTATTAAAATCTGTATAAAAATAAAAACCATATACAATTGGTCCTGACCTGACCTTTGCTGGCTAATCTGCTGTGCACGCTGTGTTGGAAGTAATGAGTCATTTTTTTTGGCCTATCATGGGAAAATATACGCTTTCACAACTTTGGTTCACTCTAAAACTTGACAAGTAAGTTAATCTGAAATAATTACTAATTCAGACTATTAGGGTTGAATAGAAAAATATGATTAAGTACAATAAATAGATTTAATATTTTAAGTAACGAGATCAAGATATGCTTGATTTTGTGTTGCTAGTAAATAAAATTGAAGATGTAGTAAAGGTAGTGAACTCAGTACGGGATTGCTGTATTAACAGTGTTTATTCTTGTTTCTCTCTTAGACATAGCTACAGGCTCAGCTTTTACTGTGACTCTATTTTTGCTGTTTTATACCTAGTTTCCTAAACTAAGCCACCCATGGGGCTAATTCACCGTTACCTTTTCTAACATGGAAAGTATTTATGGATCAGTACTTCTATGTTCCTTTTCTATCACTGCTTCTGTCTCCTTGAACCCCAGTCGGCCTCGGCAGATAGCCGCTCACACTGAGCCTGGTTCTGTTGGAGGTTTGTTCCTGTTAAAAGGGAGTTTTTCCTCTCCACCTATCGCTGCGTGCATGCTCGGTGTGACACAAATATCTGCTGTCTCTACATCAGGGGTCACCAAGCTTTTTAAGGCTGAGAGCTACTTTTTTCAGTAAATGATGGTTCCAACATCCATGCCTTTTAGTGTTTGGAGAATTAAAAAAAGAACAATAACACTTGCAGTGAATTTATATACAAATATTTAATGAAAACCCAAAACATGGCAGTGAACATTTACACACTGTTGGCCCTTGCTGACATATAAAAAAAAAAAAAAAAATAGCTTCCTTCTTGATTCAAATGGGACACATATGTAGCTATAAAGCTAGAAATACAATCACAGGTTGTTTTGTCTACCCATAATGCTGGTAATTTATTGGTACCACCAGCCCTATATGATGAGAGTTATTGTAACATCCATTTGGGAGGAAATTAATTGGCTCTCAGTACCAGGCACGCTGAGAGTTAAAAACAAAACAAAACGGAAATAAACAGCTTGACAGGCGGCTCAATCTGCTCAAGTATAAGGCTGTGAAGCACTGCAACACTGGTGTGGGTAATTAGCTCCACACACTACTATTTTACAGATAGGTGACTGGGGTCCTTGAGAGCTGCACCAATTTAGCCAACCTCTCTTTAGTCAGGCACTCCTTTAGACAGTGAAGAGACTCCTCAGAGTGATGTCCTCATAACACTGGAGGGGTGAAACCCACTCGTAGTGCAGCGTTGAAGGACCGCGGCGGCCCACCTTGGCCTCCATCTGCTCTCAGCTGCTGAGGACAAAAGTGGTTCTCGACGAATGTCAGTCCGCTGTGCTGCTGGCTTCTAGTGATGGGTTTTACTTACAGAGCAAGACTTGTTACTTCAGTGCCACTTTCTGCTTTTGTGTTTCCAAGTCTCTGTGGCGGCGCGGCAAGGCGCGCTCAAGGCATCACGGTCCCTTGTGACAGAGATCTGCTCATCTCTGTGTGGACAAAGTAGGTTTTCAGCTCCCCTTTGCCTTTCACGTTGATGATGCCACGACACGAACACATGTACCCCAGGTTGGATAAGATACCACTGGTTTCCTCCGTTACCTGCATTTCACAGAAAACATCAGAATATTAACACATTTACAACAATTCAATTCACTTAATTTCTATAGTGCCAATTCACAACACATGTCATCTCAAGGCATCTTACAGTTCACCAGATCATACAGTCAAATTGATTCAAAGTTTCTATCTAAGGAAAACCAGTTGATTGCATTGACTAATTGACTCAAATGCGAGCCCTTACACTAAGCATGCTTGTAGCGACAGTGGAGAGGAAAAACTCCCTTTTAACAGGAAGAAACCTGCAGCAGAACCAGGTTCAGTGAGAGCGGCCGACTGGGGTTCAAGGAGACAGAAGCAGAGATACAAAAAGCTTAAGACGCTTATCTACACTGTGTAGAGAGATGCAACCAGTTGTGACTCTAGCCCAAATTTACCTGGGTGGGGTCAGTGTTTTTCCAAGCGGGCCCATAATTAAAGAAAAAAACAAAACAAAAACAAAAAACAGGCAACAATGCATCATTTACTATATCAAATGAGCCACAAAGCTAAGGTTGTTTAACAGGGACCTGTGACCCCAAACATAACAAAGCAGCAGTCTAAAGAGCCTTTAAAAGTATTTGCAATTAATTTTCCATTTTACAATTTCTTAGTATATTTCATTTTTGAATCAAGTATTAGAGACAGCTAAATGAATAAATGTTACATCTACTTATTTCATGGTACATTTCATTATTTATTTATTATTCACATTTTTGTATTTCATGATATATTTAGGCCCTCCATATTGCTCAGGGATCACATCACTTTAAAACCATCTCGCAAAACCACACTTGGTGTCTAATGAATGAGGGCTACTTTGGGAACATTATATAAGGCTAAAACTGTGATTCTATCCTAATATGGCTAAAGCTCAGGGTCAGACACTTTAGTTTCTAGATAATTCTTAAAGTAAACAGTAACAGTAGAAAATGTAATTGCTCCAAGGTAGGGTTGAATTTCAATTCCTTCTGCCAGCTGATATAAGAAATTGATTTTGTGTTATGTTTTCAGTACAGGGGCAATATTGTGGCAAAAGCAGTTCTACAGGGTTTTAGCCGTCTAGAGCCACCCATGGCTGGAACTATTTCTTTTTCACAGTTTTGCATTAAGTCATTCTGACATTAGCTTTATTTGCTAAATGTCAGACATGCAGAAGATACTTTTTCTTTATTCAAATCGTATACATGCAGTAAGATTTCTATGCCTTAAAGCAGTTTTGGAAAATGGATACACAGCATATGATTTATTCAAATTTCTAAGATGAACCTGTTTCAGTGAAATGAAGTGTGTAAATCAAAGCCAGAACCAAAAACCCTGGTCGACTCTAGTGAGAGCTGGGGATGTAAATAACCGGCTTTATCACGATACAGCGTTGTATCGATTTGCTTTAATAGTGATATGATGCATCTACGAGTTTATTTTAGTTTAATTCACAAGTCTGTGATCGCTCTGATGCGATGTTATTTCCCTATCTAACACAGTTATTTATATTGATATTTCGCAAAATACAACTTAAATGTGATTTGACCATTTTATTTTTAAGCTCTTACAGGCTTCAGTCATTTTAGTGGAAAAAAAAACAAAACAAAAAAATTCTAATGATGAAAATAAAAATTGATAACCAGTTCACTATCATCTCCTGCCTTGTGAATTTCAAAATAAAAGATTTATCTTAAACATAAAAATTTTGATTTAATTTGCATCCCTTTTTTTATATAAAGTGTAGGTCACATCATTTTTTTTGTTTTTTTTTGCAGGTTTTTTTTTTTTCTGCCTCTGTGCCGAAGAAAATTGAAACAATTTCCAACATTTCACTGGTAAAAATTATGAAGTTATTAGAAATAAACAAATAAAATAAAAAATAAAAAACAACTGCTTCGGTTACAAAGATAGTCCCACTTATTAAGTCTGTGCAGACTCAATAAGTGGAACTTAAACCAGAACAAATAAAGAATAATTGTAGGCCTTTATTAAAAATATATTGGTTTAAAGAAAAGGAAAACGCAGCAATAAAGGCTGTGGGACAGATTACATACTGGATTAATTCAGTAAGAGGTGATTTTCAGAGAGGGATCTGTGAAGTTTGTTGAAGTTTTCAGTCTTTTTCGCATAAAGAAGGGAAAGAGATACTGTAAGTTGTGCTTCTACTGCTTCTTTTCGAGAGTCAAAGAGGATCCCTACTTTACCCGTTTTTTTAGTCCTCCTGAACTACTATCATGTGTGAAGTAGGTTCCAAACCTGACTATTTTCCTGTGAGATTGACAGATTTTATTTATCATTTTTAACCAAGCAGATGTTTTTTACTTTGTAACCATGTCTCTCTGAAATAATCGCTGAATTCCTGCATAGTCCCCCTAAAATACATCTCGGGTGTAAAAAAATACAAAAACAAACAAACAAAAAAAAAAAAAAAACGCTGATCACAGTCGGAAATACTCAAGCCCTCTTGAAAAAAATCGTGTCTGCTGTGTTCATCCCCATTGATTTTCAGCGAACGCTAAACGCTACGATCTTGTCCGTCATATTTTTTTGTCAGATCAGACACCAATTCTGATTCAATGTGTTCAAGGCTTTAGTAACACAGTTTCTTTATCCAAAGGGAAACATTATTTTCTAACCTGAGTTGTAATGCCGCTCTGAGACGAAGAAGCCAATACTTTAAAAGTTACATAAAAAGCTGGATTAAGCTTTGCAAATCAACTCAGGTACAAAAATACAGACCTGGAGAAATTGTCTGTAGTCTGATGAAAATAAAATTAACCATAATCACCATTGTTACATTACGAAAACCATCACAGGGGTTGCTGTATGACCGCATCATTTTGTGTGGGTGTTTTGCAGCAGGAGGGACTGGTTCACTTTACATCAAATGGAAGAACTGACTGTTAAAATTTTTGTAAAAAAGCATAAGTTGGCCTAAAAGCAAGTTACAGTAATGTTTTGGAGGAGTCATCTGAAAGCCATGATCTCAGTCCTCTGGAGAATTTGTGGTCAGAGAGGAAAACCTGAGATTAATAAAAGCTGCCTAGAAACTTCAAAGAAACTATATTAAATACTACAGAAATCTATAAACTTTTCTAGACTTAAAGAAGATAAAATAAAATTCTTGTACATTTTCTGGGATTATCTTTCAGCTGTACGTCGACAAACACGTATCAGAGACGTCTTACCTGTATTTTACCCAGCACCCCCGTCGTTTCCATCCTGCTGGCCACATTAACACTGTTTCCCCAGATGTCATATTGGGGTTTCTGAGCCCCAATGACTCCTGCAATCACCGGCCCGTGGTTGATACCTGGCAAAATCAAAAGAGACCAAAAGATAAACTCCATGGCAATCTTTAATACATAAAAAAATTGATTCTGAATGAATAGACTGATTGACATATGAACATTTTTAAGGCTGTGTGAGGCTATTCGTACCAATTCGCAGTCTGAAGTCATTAAAAGAGTGTTTGTTGATGACATCTAGCTTCCCAACAAGAGCAAAGGCAAACTCCACCATTGTGCCAATGTGCATGTACTGTCTGTCATGTTCCTGAGGAAAAAAAAGGAAAGAGAAGGTAAACAGAAACAAGTCCAATTCAACCTTGCAAGAACCCCTTTCTTAACGAAGCAGGTTAGATTAAATAATGTGGAGAATCAAAATGCTATGGCACTGGTTTACTTCTGTTCAGATGATACAGTGTTTGCAAGTTAAGCTGGGTAAAATTATGAAGTATTTCAAATACCATTCAGTTTATTCCCAAACCTCTTTCTCTGTGTGCAAGAAAGCTTAAAACGAAACAGAAAAACATGCAGCAAAACCAAATCACCAACAGAACGGCTACACCACAGCAAAATTCAAGTATATGAACGGCTCACTCTACAGCTATAACCACTGCACTGGAAAAAATCTCAATCTAGATAAGTCATTTTTTCTTAAAAT